TGAGCTAAATCCCCAGCCCTAACTTCTTTTCTTATCATTATTCCTTTTCTTTCTTTTTTCAAATTGCTCTGACTAAAGTTTCCAGAACTCTGTTGAATAAGTGGACACCCTTGTCTTGTCCTGACTTTATTTTACTTTATTTTGGTACCAAGGAATTGAACTCACAACCTCGTATTTGCCCAACAGGCACTTATACCTCTGAGCTAAGCCCCTCGGCCCCCATTCCTGACTTCATAATGAAAGCTTTCAGTGTCTGTCCATTTAATATGATGGTGGCTGTTGTTTTGTTATAGCTGGCAAATAAGCTTAGTAAGAAGAAACTAAAAATGTACTTTTTTAGGAGATGGGTATAATAAAAAAAAAAAAAAGCACAGAAAGCCAAGCAGCGAGTAATGAAGCTGGCATGTAAGGTGATGGGGGCTCGCGCGGGGAAGGAATGGGCCCCCCAGTTTGGGGGTTAGCCACTGCCAGGGTTCTGGTTTTTGCTGTGATTGATGGGCTACAGGACACGAACTGAAATAACTAAGGGCTGGGGTGCAGCTGAGGGGTGGAGCACTTGCCTAGATGCACAAGGTCTTAGGTTCTATTCCCAGCGCTTCAAAACTAAAACTAAAACAGAATACCTCAAAACTCAAAACAACTATGCAAAATGTTTGTAAAGTCAGGCAAAGGCCAGAGCAGAGAATACACCATGGCATGGATTAAAATCTGTCCATAACGTCTGATATCTGATGTTCACAAAAAATTACCTAAAAATAAAATCAACAGGTGCCCTGCTCAGTGCCAGCTCATCACTTGTCCCAGCCCACAAGCACCACTGGTGCCAGGACTGGGATGCACTGGGGTCACCTGCCCCTTCCTCAGTGAGGCCCACCCCACCCTGCACCTTCCACCCATCAGACACATCAGGTGTTGGCCTGGTCTCTGCACCCAGCATCTGTCTTCACCCTCAGAATGTAAACCCCTGAGGGCTGGGTGCCACTGCCTAGTTTGCACATCTCTCCCCAGCACCTCGCATGGTCCCTGGCACATTAGAAGTTGCTCAGTAAAGATGGGTGTAATGAATGCTGGATGATTAGCAGACTCCCCATTCCCCTTGGAGTGAGGGCACTGCATTTGGAAATGCACCGCCAGCTGGGGCAGGGAGCACCTGGGTGAGGCGTGCTGTTCCTTATCACTACCCCACAGTCTGCCCTCATCACCCCAACCCCACAGATCCAGGAACAAATCCAGAGCAACCCAGGCCCCATCGGCCACAACCACCCGGATGGACTTTTCCAGCAGACACAGGGGCCGTGTTCAGCTGAGGGTTCTGCTGGGCCCAGCAGTGAGAGGACTGGAGGTGCCTGGCTGTGATGGGTCACCTACCTGTCACTTCAGCCGTCTGTCCTCTGTCTTCCCATTCCTTCCATCGCCCCATGACCCCCTCTAGGCACTTCCTTCATAGTTTAACTTTTTTTTTGCTATATACACTGATTTTAAAAGGAATCACAAATGGAAAAGCAGTATCTGGGCCATAAACAGAAGGGAACTGAAAGCCAGGTTCAGAGCCTATGCTGATAAACCCAGCTACTATGGGTAGGCAGGCTGAGGCAGGAGGACTGCAAGTTTGAGAGCGGCCTGGCCACAGGGGGAACACTCGCCTAGATGCATGAGGTCCTGGGTTTCCTCCCCAGCACAACGAAACACCTCAAAATTCAAGCAATTATGAAAAATGTTAGTAAAGAAGATCAGGCAAAGGCCAGAGAAAAGAAAACACCACGGTGAGACACTGTCTCCACAATTTAAAAGGCCAGCCTGGGGAAGTAGCTCAGTGGTACAGTGTTTGCCTAGTATGCAGAAGACTAAGTCAGTCTCCTGCGAAGTTGTAAGGGTGCTGAGCCAGCTTCTGGGAGACGTTAAAGCCACATTAGTAGAGCGGGTCTTTCTCTTTGAAAGAAAATTGCTGTGCATCTCAGATTTAGGGGACACCTTCTCTGCGTCCTACCTAGCCTCGCTCTGCAGAATTAACCAGTAGGTCCCCCGCCCCCTTCTGGAAACTCCCTCGTGGAGAAGCAGTTTTCATTTTGCAGGTCTGGGACTCTACGGGGAAGCCCTGGGTAAAGGCACCTTCTTCAGCCTGGTGGACTCTGGCTAGGTGAGGAGCCCTGTTGCAGGCCATTTCCTCTGAGCTGGCTGGGAGCCTCTCCACTCTTAGGCCCAGCAAGGCCCTGTTTTGTTCCCATCCCTCCAGCACCCCGAGAAAGGGGGCACTGGCCTGGCTGACACAGCGAAAGCCCCAGGGAGCTGGGTGAGCTCACCCTCAGGGCTCTTGCTGGCTAATGAACATCTGAGAACCTCCAGCTCATCTGACTGAGAGGACCCCAGGGACGCTGGGCCAGATGTCACTGTGGAGGGAGGGGGCAGGGGCCCAGAGAGAGGAAATGGGTTTGGGGGAGGGGAACTCTACTTCCTGCCTTTTTGTTGGGGAGAGAAAGCTGGGGCTGGGGCAGGCATTAGGGTCACAGCTAAGCCCATGACTCTGCAGCTAACTTTGAGGGCTCAGCCACAGGTGTGGTGCCCACTACCTTGTGGCCTTCAGCAAGTGACAGCCCCTCACTGTTCACTGCGGTCCTCAAGTTACCAGCTTCCCCAGGGAGGCGTGCGAAATGTGGAGGCTCAGGCCCAGACCCAGTCACTGTACATTTTGCCACATTTGCCCCCGGAAGTGACTTGAGAGGCAGGCGCAGGGGGTTGGGTGTTAATGAGCTCAAACACCTGCAGTGACTAGAACAGTTGCTGGGGAAGTGCTGGAGAGGTGAGGTGTCTGCCGCTATTTTCACCATTTACTATTATTGAAGCATTCTTTTTTTTCTTGAGGGATGGGGGATTTGGAGACAGGGTTTCACTATGCAGTTCAAGGGGCAATTCTCCAGCCTTTGCCTCCCAAGTGTGGGGAATTCAGGTATGCGCCACCACACCCCACTAGTGAAGCATTCTGGGCAAGGTGATGGCTGGGCCAGGTGAGTTACTGCCAGCCTTGTCACCTCTTAGCATCCCCAGAAACGGGTTTCATGAAACCTAGTGTGAAGGCAAGGAGGCTGCGGCTCAGAGGTGCGGCAACTTGCCCATGGTTCATAGGAGAAAACCTGGCCAGCCCCAATCCTATTACCGATTTGGGAAGTGGGGAAGTGGCACTACGGCTTCTGTGCCCAGCACTTTTAAGCACTCACATCCCTATGCGGTGAACTTGCTGGCAACTCCATTTTTCAGAAGACTGAAATGAGGCATAGAGGGGTAGCTTTTCCAAATCCAGCCAGCAGAAAAGGGCAGTGTGACTCAAATTTCAATGCCATGCTGTGCACCTTTCACCATTTCCCCCAGAATCTTTTCCTCCAACGCAGCTCTGCCTTCCTACCATTGTGCTACCAGCCGCAACTCTGGCTGGGGTAGATTCTGCCTCTCCCATGTCCTCACTGCTAACAAGGTCTTGGCTGACCTGAGTTTGGGACGGGAGGCAACTAGAACTCAGAACTTGTTTCCTTCCACTCTGCACTCCCCAGTGCAACCCAGGTGGCGGGAGCTTTCAGGGCTGTGCAGTTTGGAGATTCTTGACTCTGGCCTCTGGGCGGGCAACTGGCCTGGAGCTGGGTCTCCTTCTGCCTCTCTGTACCCCACATGAGCTCAAAACCCTTGCTCCCCTTTGGGCTTGACTCCCCTTTCTGGCTAGAGCACAGCTAAGCTGCTTTATCTGCAGTCAGGTCACTCACTCCACATTTATTCAGCACCGATATGTGCCAGGTACCGTTTCTGCAGAACCAGCAGTGAACAGGAAGACCCAGTCCTGGGGAGACATACAGTACAAAAATTGATCACACACCCAGGAAAATGCACAATTTCCCAAAGGACAGGAGAAATGACTTTTGAACAGGAGATCAGTGAGAGCCCTCCTGAGCAGGGTGCTGGGATGTGAAAGATGAACAGTGCTCTAGCTGCAGGAGCCTGGGTGTTTACAAGTGAGGTGGGGAAATATAAGCCCTACCCGATGGCTAGTGCCGAGGGACTGCCCGAGGGGCTGAGAAAGACAATTCCAGCCAACATCCCTGATGGACTTGGCCCCAAGTACCCTGTCTCCCCAAGTACCCCGGGCCAACAGAGACCTTGAGGGAAACTTCTTTACCGTTCTTTCCAACTCTCCTGGCCCCAGGGGCGTGTCCCCTGGATGACCCCATCTTCTGGGGCAGAGGAACTATGCCAACTGGAATTCTGTGCTACCATGCCGACAGGCCTGGCCTCAAATCCTGCCTCCACCCACCGCAGGCCGGTGGTATTTCAGTTCCTTGGAGCCTCAGATTCTTCATCTGTAAAATAGGACAATTCTTTGGGAGTTGTTTTGATAAAAGTGTTCAGCGGCTAGTGCACTTGGTGGGGGCCTAACCAAAGGTTAGTATGTTAAAAATGACTGTGATTATAAGCCATTTAAGGACCGCAAATTCCTCCTGGCCCCACTCCAAAGTGCAAAGAGAGGTCTGAGGAAGAAATCTTGTTGGACCGGTTCGTGGCAGTTTCCTACTGGCACTGCAGGCACAAGGTCCGTCTTCCCTAGGTAAGGGACGATGGACACGGGTGAATGCACTAACGTACGAATGAAGCTCTTTTCCCAAGCAAGGTCATTCAACTTATTGGTGGCACCTCTAGCCCGGCCGTGGTCCGGGAGTCCTCGGCGTGCACCACTCTTACCTGCTGTGCGCCTCAGTTTCCCCCGGTTATCGTAGGGGGAGGACCGAGCGGCCTGCCGAGGTAGGGTGAGCCCCGCCAAGCTAGGGCGCCTCTGGGTGCTGGGGACTGCATCCATAGGCGCCCCATCGGCGCTGAACCCGCCCCCACCCCTCGCTCTGCCAGCTGCGATCAGCCCCCACCCGGAGCCCCGGGCCTCCCGGACCCCTAGCGCACGTGACTCCGCCCCTGCTCGCCCCGCCCTGCCGTCTTGGCGCGAGCGCTCATTGGTAGCAGAAAAGGCACCGCCCCTATTGGGGCGGAGCTAGCGCGCCCCGCCCGCCGCAGAGCTGGGCTCCTGCGTCCGGACTAGGAGCTGCGCCCGGACCCGGCTGGCTGGCGGGCGGAACCGGGCCGGCGGGTTTGCTGCGGAGCAATCGTGCTGGGCTGCGGACCGCGCCATGGTGAGCGGGGCCGGACCGGCTGGCGCTAGCGTGGGCCGGGGCTTGCGGGAGGGGCAGGGGCAGGGGCAGGGGCAGGGGCGGCCCCAGACAGGGCTGAGGCGAGCGAGGCGGCGCTGCGGTGGGCCGGGGTCTCGGCGGCAGGGGAGGAGTGGCGGGCGGGCGGGGGCGCGGCTTCGGGAGGGTCTGTTCAGGGGGCCGCGCCCGCGTTGGGGGCTCTTTGTCCGCTGCGCTGCGGAGAGATCCGGACAAAGGAGGAGGCGGGGGGGGGCGGAGGCTGCTTTGCGGGGTGCGGGCGCCCTCCACCCCCCGCCATTGCAAGTTCCCGGTCGCGGATCGCAGTTCCGCGCCCTGTCTGGACTGCTGGGTTCCCCTGGATGTTTCAAAAATATTTCGAAATGTAGGGGCTCTTTGTAGTACCCAGTGTGATTTGGAGGGCCCTTGGGGTAGGAGGCCAGGCCCATTTCCTGGGTGGGGAAACTGAGGCCGAGGCGCAGCGCTTGGTACTGGTTCTGGTAGGCAGTGATTGCGCGGCGTGGGCAGGACTGGGTCTCGTGCTCCTCGTCCCCTCCCCCACCCCTAGTTGGGCCGACTTGAGTTGCCGTTCCAGCTGTCGCCCCCTGCCCGAGCCTCAGCTTCCCCGGAGCCTCGCCTTACTCCTCCATAGAGTGGGGGAGACGCGGCGGCGTCGCCGGGCGGATTAAATGAGAGGGTGCGTGGAGCGAGCCTGGCACAGTGCCTGCTCACCGCCTGCGCTCCGCAAGCGGGAGCTGCCAGGACGTTTGTCATTCCCGAGTCCCCAGCATCGCATAAGACCTTGCACAGGTCACTGATCTTGTCCCCCTGGGGGCTAGGCATAGGGAAGAAGAAGGAGGGAGATGGGGCGTCAGGAATATAACATTTTAGTTAGGTTTGAAATCCAGCATTTGGGATCTAGCTACCTTTGAAGTGAATTCTGCCAACTGCCTTTGACTTTGAATTCTTTCTTGCACATCTGTGTGTTAGCTGTTGTGACCTTGGGCAGTTGACTTGGCTTCTCTGAGACACAGATCTTAGTACCTGCCAAGTGGGAAGAGTTACAATAACTCTAGGGTTGTTTGGAGGCAGAAGTCTCAGGGACATCTATGTGAGTGGCTCAGTGATGTGTCTGGTACACAGTAGTCAGCACCAACTTTTGTGGCATCTGTTGTTACTAAAGCTGTTTGGACAAAAGTTTTGACCATGGAGCAGCCTGTGAGAATGGTCAGCCTGAGTCGCTGGGTGAGGGCAGAAGCCTCAGATTGGGACTGACCTCTGGGCAGCCCCAGCTCTTTGGGGTCCAACTTCCTCTTTTATCTGGGGAACCTGGGGGCTTCTGGAGGGAGTTTCTCCTCTGGGGAGGAGGAAAGTGGGGTGAGATACACCACCCCACTGCTGAGCTGGACACAACCCTGCTGCATGCCTGCTGTTCTTGGTCCTGGCTCTTGGAAGACAGGGACCTCGTGTTGTGTGTCCTTATGACTCAGTTCTTGCAAGGGTCTGGCATAGAGTGGATATTTCTAGCCTCATCTTGATTATCCAGCAGTGCTCACTTCTCCCTGCAGTCCTGCTTACTTATGCACAACCCAGAGCAGAAATGTTGCTCGGTTGTGAACTGGGGTTCCCTGAAGAGGCAGGGTCTGGTTGAGTGGCACCCATTTGGTGGCTTCATTGGAATGGTTGCCTGGCTCAACATTGGGGGCAGTGCTGGAAGACCTGGGGAGTTGGCCGCCCTCTGTGAGCCAGGCAAGCCCCTTTCTTGAGGAAAGCTGGGAGGAGGAAGGCGCATGTGGGGCTGGCAAGCTGGTGCCCAGCCGAACTTGGCAGCAGTCATGATGTGCCCAGTTATGTGAGTAGGCAGGCAGCGTGTCCCTGCAGAAGGGGCTGTTTGTGACATGAGTAGGACCAGAAGGTGAGGTTGGGGTTGCATCCCCACTTTGCATGTTGAGAATCCACGGCAGTTAGGGCAGTGTGGTAGAAGGGGCAGGGGATTCCCCTGCCTGCCCGTGTGTTGGAAGGGGCAGGGATTCCCCTGCTTGCTGTGGAAGGTGGTTTATTGCAGGATCCCATGAAGATGAAGGGCTGCCAAGGTCCCCTCCTCACCTTGGAGAAGACCTAGAGGAGAGACATGGTCTGGGAGGGAAAGTGGCATTGTAGGAGGTCCCTGCTGTGACTGGGCTTCAAGGAGCTGGATCTCAGTCCCTGCATGTACCCTGGGGCTCAGGTCTTGCTCTCTGAGCCTTGGGAAACTGGGCATAGCGTTCCTATAACACTGCAACCTGAACATCCGTGAGAGGCCTCAGAGCCCATGCTGGCCAGGGATCCCCTGGAATTTGTTGTTCTTGTTCTGCTGCTAGGGGACATGGGTGACCTGTGCTCCTGCTCACCACATGTGAGGGTGTTTAGGGGCAGGAGCTCTGCAGACTGGAGGGCCTGGACTTTTCCAGGAGTGATGGGTCAGAGGCTTGGAGTTGGGAGGGTGTGGCCTGGATAGGGCTGCCCCTGGGGGAGCCACCTGGCCTTGGCTTCAAATGCCAGATTTGTTCTGGACTTTATGTGAGAGGGAGCTGGAGAGCGGATGCTCCTGAGGGCTAGAGCCCTTTGCCCCTGGTTGGGATTCTGTCCTGTGCTGGCTAAGCTGGACCTCTGCATTTCTAGAGCCTCCCTCTGCTCTGCTGGGCCCTCTTCTGGGTTTATATTCTGTTTCCTAGCTCTTCATTCTTGGGCAAGCCTCTTGAATGCTGTGTGCCTCAATGTCTTCATCTGCAAACTGGGGTGATTACGGCAAGCAAAGTTGGCCATGGGGAATGGATGGTGGGTGTATGAGATGAACATAAGTGGTTGTGGCAGTTGTCCCGAGATGGCCCAGGTTTCCCTTGAGCCATCATGGGCATCTCTCTTGCCTAGACTATGACCCTCCTTGTCCTGCTGTGTTCCAAGGCCTTTGCAGGATTGCGGTAAGGGGTCCTCAGTTGTGGGAGTCAACTGAAGGCTTGGAGAGTCTGTGGGAGCCCAGAGGAGGTGCAGCAGGGGCCTGGGGGTCAGCCACCCTCAGTACTTTGGGCTTTGGCTTCTTGGTCGCTGCCTCCCTATTCTCCGAAGCATGTGGAAGCAGCTGCTGTGTGTGGGCTCAGCCCTGGTGACAGCCACTGGCATGCTTCTGCCCAGTGCCCCACCTATAACTTGACCTTCCTTGCAGACTGAGGGGTGGCCATGTGGCCTATCTGCAGATCCTGGCTGCAGGTCCTGGAGTAGCCTGAGGTTAGGGGCTTGGCTCACACCTGGGACCTCCTGTGAGGACGGCTCCTGTGCTTGGAACTCTCAGCTGCCCTTTTTGAGCACTAACTGTGTGCTAGTGACAGAGGAGGGGACAAGCCATAGGCAGGGTGGATGATACCCTCCCCTTACACACAGAGTTCTTGGGGTGGAGACAGCAGCCAGGGAAACACACCACTGACCCAAGAGAATTTCTGAAAGCATAGAGCCCTAGGAAATAAACAGAAGTGGGGCAAAGTGGTGGAGAGGGTGGGAAAAAGGGGCACTGGAGCCAGGTCCTGGAGGAGGCTTGAGAGGCTGCTGCTGCTTTTTTTTTTTTGGTACGGGGAATTGAACTCATGACCTTGTGCTTGTCAAGCAGACGGTTATGCCACTGAGCTCAATCCCCGACCCCTGAGAGACATCTTCTTAGGAGGTCCCCAGTGACTGGAAAGAGCCAGCCATGAGCAAGGCAGGAGGAACCCTGGAGGGGGCTGGGGTCAGAGTGGGGTCCACAGGGAGGGTGGGATGCAGCCTGTGCAGGCAGGGAATCTGGATTCTCTTCTGAGATCAGGAAAGGTCTGAGTGGAGAATGGCGTGATCAGATTTTTTAGATTAGTTCTCAGGAAATACTTGCTGAGCGAAAGCAGAAACAAGCAGCACACTCCAGGAAGGCCCTGGGGCCACAGGCCAGATGTGACTGGCTTGGTCATCAGGCTCTGTGCTCAGGAGTGACAGGACCAATATTTGGCACTACCCATCTCCATGTCTGGGGCAAGGGAACAGGTAGGGGTTTGAGGTCACCCTTCTAATCAGAAGGTCCCTGTGTGCTGGGCTGCTTATATCTCAGTTTCCCTGTTTATCCGAGGATGGGTGGCTTCCCCCTGGACTTGTGGGTGCCTCTTGACACTACCCCCACTTGGCTTTGGCCCCTGGGTTTCCCCCTCAGGTCCTGGTACCATTGTCCAATTTCCGTTTTCCTGCCCCTAAGTCACCGCCAGTCTCCAAACACACACTTCCCTTCTGAATTGATACTGACTTGCCTTCCTGTCCAGAAGGCCCTTTAGCTAAGAGGTCAGGGAGTTAGGGGTGGAGGCAGGCTTAACTAGTGCAGGGGGCAGGCTGCCCAGGCCAGCGATGCCCTGTCCGTCTGGAGGACTGAGAAGACAAGTTGGCGCTGGTTCCTGAGGGGAGCCCTGATAAGGCACTGCTCTCAGGCTTGCAGAACCCTGGGTGGCAGAGCCCTGGCTGCCTTCCTGGTGAGGTGGGCTTCATTGCAGAGCTGGGGTAGCTGGGTCAGAGTCCCTTCACTTTCACACTGCTGCCTTCTGGGGCCAGGTCATATGATGTGATTGTGAGGAACATCGTGTGCTTAGTAGGATGTCCAGCAGAATCCCTAGCCTCCACTCCCCAGATACCAATAGTGCCACCTCCCTTTCCTGTTTGTAACAGCTAAACATGGCTCCAGGTATGGTCAGATGTCCCCACGATGGGAACACAGTTGCCCCCGTGGAGAATCACTGAACACGGGTAAGGGAGTGGCACGTCCAGGTAGAGGGAGCTCTCTGAGGAAGGCCTGGGAGTCAGAGGACTTCAGAGGGAGGCCTGTGGAGACAGCATAGCCGGGGAGCAGTGACCAGGGAGAGAGATGCAGCGTGTCAGTTCTTAAGTCACTGTGAGGACTTGGATGTGTCCTGTGTCTTTGGACTGAACAGCCCCTGGATGCTGTGGGCCTGCATGGATAGAGCCTATTCAGATGATGGCATCAGCTTGGATCCAGGAGGCTGTGAATGCCAGGGATGTCACTGCCTACTGCCTAGGTAACAGCTCTGCAGAAGTGGGCTCAGGTGGCAGGGAGGTAGTCTCGGCTCACAGTCTGGTCCCTGGGTGCTCTGGAGTGTTGACTTAGCTGCCTTTGACCTTCAGGCAGGCCTGCCCCTGGAGAGCTTCCCCGTTTGGTTGGGTAAGTCATTTCTGATTAAGGCTGTTGTTGCTCAAGGACGCAGCAAGTTCAGTCCTGCTTGGAGGGGAAACTTCCAGTGTTGCCTACCTCTGTTGACCTCACTGTTCTGAAAAAAATAAAATCAGATGAATTCAGCCTGGTGCAGTGGCTCATGTCCTCAAGAGTCAGCAGAAGGATCACAAGTTTAAGGCCAGCCTGGGCAACTCAGTGAAACCCTGTCAATAAAAATAAATATTAAAATAGAAATGAAAATACAGAGGACTAGGAATATAGCTCACTGGTGGAACACTTGCCTAGCAGGCACAAGGACCTTAGTACTGAAGAAGGAGGAAAAGAGAAAAGAAAACCGAATTCCGACACCTAGTTCTCAGTGCAGCCTGCCTAGCCCCGTGTGGAGTGCGCCTCAGGTCTGTCCTTCACCCTCCTGGCTGTGGCAGGATGTGTTACTGTGGTGTGCTCCTTGCTTGCAGTGGCAGCAGGAGATGTGAGGCGGTGTGGAGCGGGAGGGGAGGGTGGTGGGAAGACTGCAGTTCCTTAGCTTCAGCACCCAGGGTGGCAAGAGCAGCAAAGCCCTCATGTCTGGTTTGTCACAGGCTAGCTCTTGGGTGTCACCTAGAGCAAAGCCTGGAAGGCTGAGCGGGTGATTAGAGTGGATTTTGTGGAGCTCACACGTGTCGCAGACACCCTCGCCTTTGCCACTCAGGGGTTCCTGCTGCAAAGCGGGTCTGGGGGCTTGGTGGATGAGGGGATTCTTCCTCTCAGGTCACATGGCTGGGAGGTGGGACCTCGCCTCCCTGGACGCGCTTTGAGTGTTCCTACACCTTACACACGCTGGCTGCACGCCTGCCCTCAGAGCCTCAGCAGCTGCCGTTCCCCTGCTGGCAGTGCTCTTCCACACCATTGTGGCCTTCCTACAACTCATCTGCCCTCCAAGTTTAGCACCGCAACACTTGGTTCCTGGTAGTCATGTGGCACCTGAATTTGTAGCGATGGGTGGAGTGACCTGTGTGCAGTCTGTCTTCTGCACCAGACACTGATTCTGTGTGCAGACAGGAGCTGACTGTCACACTTCCCTGTCCTCCCTGAAGCTCTTCCCAGCGCCTGGAGGCTCTGGGAACTGCTTCTCTTTTGCTTGCTTGGTGTAGTGTCTAGCTTCTGAGTGTAGCTACTTTCTCCAAAAGTAAAAAGGGCTGGGAATGTAGCGCAGTGGTTAGTGTACCCTGGGTTTTTCTTCCGTAGTACACACACACACACACACACACACACACACACAAATATAGACATGCCAGCTGGAACTTGAGTGGCGTTGTCCCCTGTCCCCTGTGGAGTCGCTGGTGTAGTCTCACCTTGCTTTGTCTTTTAGGACTCTTGTGTCCAGCCGGTGTTCCAGCCTCACTGAGCCAAGCCATCTGAGAGAGCTTCCTTCTAAGGAAGTGCCCCCAAGCACTGACCATGTCTATTATGGACCACAGCCCCACCACTGGTGTGGTCACAGTCATTGTCATCCTCATCGCCATTGCTGCGCTGGGGGCCTTGATCCTGGGCTGCTGGTGCTACCTGCGGCTACAGCGCATCAGCCAGTCGGAAGACGAGGAGAGCATCGTGGGGGATGGTGAAACCAAGGAGCCCTTTCTGCTGGTGCAGTATTCAGCCAAGGGACCATGTGTGGAGAGGAAGGCCAAGCTGATGACCCCCAGTGGCCCAGAAGTGCACGGCTGATCTGGGCTATGAGGCTCCTGGTTCTGTCTGCAGCCAGCTGAGAGGCGCCAGGAGAGCAGAAGACAGACATGCTGCTGTTGGAGAGGAAGGGTTGACACTTGCTGGCATGGCCTCAGCGGGCTTCGTCATCGCATGCACTGACTCTGGGGGCCTGGCTGTCCTGGGCTTCCCCTTGGCCTCCTGGTGGGGCTGCCCATTGCAGGCAGTGGGTGGGCCTGACCTTGCTGGGGCTTGTCGCCCCTTAGAGCTTTTGTTACTTGAATGTTTAGCTGAGCCTGTTTTTGACGGAGCTACTACTGTAATGCGTGAATTAACAAACCTGTGAACTGTAAATAGGCCCCAGAAGCACGTGCTTAAGCCTTTTTGCTGAATTTTTAAAATATTACTTAGAGCACATGGAGGAACTTTTTTGATTAGGACTGTACTCACGATGGGCTGAGTCAAGACCCTGGTGGGTCTTAGACTTTTAAGACCCAAGCTGCGCTTAGCAGGGGGCTCTAATGTCTCTGTGTATATAAAGGAAGTGAGGTATCAAGTGCTAGGTCTCATAGCTGACCATCTGGGGTGCTTTGGTGATTTCTGCTTGGTTAGTACTGGGTGGAAGAAGAACCACACCCCTCCCTCTATTCAGGAGATGCGGTTGTTAAGTAGAAGTGCCCTTTGATGGTATTATTGCAAGGAAGCTACTGTACCTGCTTGGAAGCCTGTGACGGACATGTTAGGGCACATGTCCCGAGAGCTTCCAGGCAGCTTGGTAGCAGAGCAGTTTCCTGTCCCTTTGGTCTCACGCATGCCAAGTACACCCCCTTAGCTCAGGCTTCATAGACGCGCCAGAGCTCACCGTGACTGTCTTTTGTCTGAAACCCAAATGGCCCAGGAGAGGAAACTTTCTGTGTTTTTTGTGTTTAGTATTTTCTGCACTGGTGAGGTAGAGGTGGTGGCTGGTGTTGTATGTTGTTCCCCACATCCCCACTCCCTTTTCACAAGTTAGCTTCCTTTCCTCTCTGATGACTGCCCACCTGCTGGGTATTAGATTTCACTTTTCTCAGCGGGTCTCTGTAGACTGTCACGAGGCCCCTGACCCAGCTCTGAAGGCACTGTGTGCAGTAGAAGGTCATTCTTTTGTGCACATTCACACAGGAGCCACCAGATGCTCCCTGCCAGTCTGTACTTAGTGCAGGGAGAGGGGGAGGGGTGGGAATAGAGTTCAAGACTTGGTTCTCACAGATTTGGTGGCTGTCACTCATGCCACACCTTGACAGCTGCATCTGTCCCTTGTGTATACTTCACTGAGCTCCCTTAGATGTCTAATCTCACCACTGCAAACATTTCCATCATGATTCAAACATGACGTGTTGGCATCCTGAATAATGAGCCAGAGGCCAGCCCAGGCTTAACCTCACAGCACTGGCCCTATATACTTGAGCCAGCAGCTGCAGACAGCGCAGCCAGGGGAGCAGAGTCCGGGCCTCCTCCTCAGGCTATAGGCCTCTTTTCTGAAAAGCATGTTGAATTAATCCACTTTCCAGAATCCCTGTGGGGAGCTGTAGGGAGCAGCACTTCCATTTTAGCACCATTAAATAGTAACTTGGGGTGGGAAGGGGATAGCTAATGAGGCCATTGTGTGGGAAGCAATACTGAAACTCTACTAAGGGGCCCTGCGGACCCTTAGGGAACAGGGGAGGAAATGCTTTTGGCGAAGTGGGGAAGAGATAGATGGCAAGGGCCAGCTGGACAGGCAGAGCCTGTACAGGCTGAGGTGGCAGGGTGAATGGTGGTCACTGTGATGGTACCTTGGAGAGGAGGCAGGTCCAAAAGGTGCCAGGTGGTGGTCAGTGAAGGAGGCAGTTGCAAAGGCTGAGGAGGCTTTTGTTCCATCCCCTCCCATTTCAGACCTTGCAGGCTTTCTACCTCCACTCAACTAGCCAGCAGCACAAGCACAGGCTGTTTGTCGTTCAGCTCCCTAGCCCAGTTCTCCACCAGTGGCTGGGATTTGCATTTTCTGAGCCTGGTGTTGGAACTGACCTTTGCTCCACCATCAGACTTGTCTTGCAGCTGTTACTGTGCCAGTGAAGCTTTAGTTTCTGAAACGATTAGATAGATGTGGCTTTTTCATCTGTTTCACTTGTGGAGATTTTCTTAGCCCAACCCCCGGTGGCCAAGGACATCTATGGAGCTTGCTTTGGGCCCATCAGTAGGATAGAGGCACATGGGTTGGGTGAAGCATGGTAGGGGTCTTTGGGAGGAAGATGAAATGCCCAAAGAACCAATGAATACCACATAACAGCTCTCCCTGTGAATATTTATCAGTAGCTCCTTTTTTAGCACAGACACCAGTTACACTCAGATGCTTGGTAAGTTATGAACTCTCTCTTTGAATTCTTTCTCAATGGCCCAACTGTTGCACTCAAGTTTTCTGAATAGCCAGGGAATTAACCTTTATCCTTCGTAACATGGCAGAAACAGCAGCAGGGCAATGGGAAAGGAGTTCTTGACATTGAGCCACTAAATTATAGACTAATTTCTCAGCCAGCTCTTCAGATGGACTGTGCTACTGTTTTTGTCTCAAAGCTACCAAGCTTATGCAATCTTGGGATGTCACCTGTGTCAATAAAAGCAGGATAACATTTAAGTTCATTTTCTAGACCACTGAGAAAATCTTTATTTACAATGTTTCAATAAAATTTGCATAAATATACTCCCAATGTACAATTTCTATCTCTGATTCCTTCATTATTTCAGGTTAGTCTGTCCTGTTCTCATTCTTCCTCTCAGATGCCAGCAGGGAGCTGGCATTGGAAGGCAGGGGAGTCCCACCAGGTAATAGGGGGACACTTGCAGGCTCGGGGTGGTCAGGGTGTGCTTCTCTCAGTGGGGCCGGGTCCTCAGCCCCGTCCTGGCCCTGCAGCTTCCTCTCCATGGTGGCAACCAGGATCTTGAGCCACGTGTTCTCGGTGAGGAGAGTCTCCGAGGCATCAGCCAGCTCCTCCAGCTCACGGGCCTTCTGCGTGTACAGGGCCTGTAGTTGCTCGCTGTGCTGCCGCAGCAGGCTGTGCTGCTGCTCCAGGGCCTGCTGCTGCTTGCGCAGCCGGCGCTCATCCCTGCGGGCACTGGACAGCTGGCCCTCTACTTGGACCTGTGCTCGGTGAAGGCTGCTTAACTCTGCTCGCAGTTTCTGGATCTCTCTCTCCAAGTGGGAGATATGCCCTTGCTGTAAGGCTGCCTCACTTTGGAGACAACCTCTGGACGGGGTGCTGGCCACATTCTGGGGGGCGAAGGCAGGGTCTGAGTGATGCAGGATGAATCTCAGCAGATTTGGAAGGGTGATGGGGAGGTCTTCGGGGTATTTTACACTTAGGTCCTTTCTGTAAAGAAAAGGGAGAAGTGTCAGTCTTGGCAGCAGGCACAGTTCAAGTGCTTCTGGGTATCAGGCCATCTACTCTTAGCAAGGAAGAACAGCAACAAAAACAAACAAAAAAAACCAAAACACAAAAAACAGGTATTGCTTGCAGAAAATGAAGATGAAAAAAAATTAACCTAGCAAGCAGTTCTCCAGGAAGCTGTTCCATTCACTTGTGCTGTGATTAAGATGGCTTATCTTATATGGATCTGTTCCTGAGCAATTTGTTAAACATAAATTTCTAGAAAGACACGCATTCCCAGGCCCAAATCTGAAGCTAGTGACTGTGGGCACGGGGAAAATACACAAAGGGGCTTTCCAGGTACTCTGAGACCCAGTGGTCATACAGGACAGGCTCCCTTGGGAAGACTGTCACCAGGTTGGTTTGTGGCTGTCAACAATGCTTGGTGAGTAAGAATACCTGAAAACTCAGTCTATTTCCTCAGCAAGCATTTATTACATACTCTAAGGCAAGAGTTCTCAAGTGGGAATGACTACCCCTCAAGGGGACACTGAGCTTATGCCCTTGAGGCTAACAGACCAACCAAAGGGTAAATTAGGGCTTCAGGGCCTTAAAGTGTCAAATGAGGCATGACATTGGAAGAGGTTCCTTCATAGCTTTGTTTAGTGTTCTTACCTAGAAAATTTTCAGCAGAACTTCCGATTTACTGTCTGACAGCCAAAGTTTCACAGATACATTTACCTGGGCATGTACAATCTAGCTGCACTAAATCGAAGCTATCAACTTTTGCATTTATGCTCAAGGTGGGCTAACAGACAGGAGATCTTCTGCACATATTAAAGGATCAGAGCTCAAGCTGGGTATAGGGGCACATGCCTATAATCTCTGCACTGGAGGCTAAGGCAGGAGGACTGCCTCAAGTTTGAGACTACCCTGGATTTTACATAGCACCACCTTGTCTCAAAAAAACAAAAGGGAGCAGAGGTCAAGGGCAGAGACAAGCTGCCCAGAGTGGCTCTGTTCACTGTCATGTGTTCTCCTACCTCACAGATAGCTGTAAACTGTAAAAACTGTGTTGTTCATTATGAAAGCACTAATTAAAAACCCACACTCCCTCCACATGCAGTCAATGGCCAAATAGCTAAAACAACAAAAGGGGCTCCATTAAAACTACAAATTAAACATGCCACAATTTATACAATGTTTACGGACACCTTCAGGTAAAGTTTTTTGAACTCTCAGGTAATACTAAACCTAAAGTACAACTTGGCACCTTGCACATAACGGTTTTATACAATAAAATAGTTAAGATAGTCAACTGTCGGCTCCTTTAAAGCTCTGAACATATAAAGCTCTGAACATATAAAGAACTAAAAAAAAAAAAAAAAATAGTCCTCCCAAATTTAAAGACCTAGTCAAAAAAATGGGCTTCTGAGATGAATATGCACTTCTCAGATGAAGAAATACAAACAGCAAATAAATATGTAAAAAAACAAGTTCAACATCACAAGTCATTTGAGAGATACAAATTAAAACAACACTTAGATTCTACCTCACCACAGAAAGAATGGCTACCATCAAGATATAAAGCAACAAGGCCAGGCATGGTGGCGCACACCTGTAATCCCAGAACTCACGAGGCTGAGGCAGAAGGATTGTTGAGAGTTTAAGACCAGCCTGGGCTACAAAGTGAGTAGCAAGACCCTGTCTCAAAAAAAAAAAAAAAAAAAAAAAAAAAAAAAAACAAAACCAAAAGAAATCCAGCAACAACAACCAATGTTGGGGGCTATGGGGAAAAAACAACCCTTTTCCACTGTTCATGGGAATGCAGACTGGTACAACCACTGTGGAAATCAATGTGAAGAGTCCTCAAAAAACTAGAATTGGAGGTCCCATTCAACCCAACTATTCCTCTCTTGGGTATCTTCCCAGAAGAATTAAAAACATCATACCATAGTGATATATATGCACCCACATTTATAGCAGCACAGTTTGTAATAGCCAGATCTTGGAAACAACCTAAATGCCCATCAACTGAGGAATGGATAAAAACGATGTGGTATTATACAATAGAGTACTACCAGCCATAAAGGATAAACTAGAGATTTTTCAAGATAAATGGATGCAACCTGAGAACATACTTGGCGAAATAGAAAGACACACATGTAAACATCATATTGCTTCATTATTATGAGAAGCTGAAAGAAAAAACATGTATATGTGTATATACATATACAAAAATAGTTAAGATAGTCGTACTACTGATTTCTCTGAGTTCACTTAAGAGAAGACTGGTGCTGGTATTGTTTGGACAGTTCAATGCAGATGTCGTGTGCTCCAAGTGAATGATTCGGGGATGACTGTGCAATGTATGTTCCCACTGTTGCCTCCTGACTGATGTGTTTTAAAATTTTTAGGTTTTTTCCCCCTTCTTTTTATCCTTGAAATAAAATGGACTTGGAAAAATAAGTAAGAAAGCAAGCAAGCAAGCACGCACGCGTTCATGCATGCGTACAGCTCTGGACGTGGAAGTTCCTACTGAGCAGGGCCTCCAGCGTGTCCAGGAAGGCCGCAAGCAGGGGTCAGGAGGCTGATCTGCCACCCCCTTCCGTAGCACAGAGCGTGTTCGAGGGCAAAATACAGGTACACCAGAAACAGCAAAGGGCTGAGAGTCACCTTCATTTGTCTCTGGAGACCTTTTACAGGACAACATTGAGAAGCATGTTATCTTCAAGAGCAATGCTAGCAATCTCCCTGAAGACCATGCCAAAATGCTTTCACACTTTTAAAAGTAGCTAGGACACAGAATATCGAAATGCTTTCCAGAATGCTGTCCTTTTGAAAGTGGCGGTAAGAGGTCTACTACTGTGTCTGATGCTTCTTTCACCCTGACGGAGGGGCCAAGCACTCCTTGGAAGCAATGAGGTTTTTCTGCAGGAGTCAACCCAAAGTCTCTTGGTGGATAGTGTACACGCCTACCACCTGGCCCACGGTCAGACCAGGGCACCTGCATTTTGTTTTCTGTTTTCCCCCAGTCCTGGGGATGGAACTCAGGGACTCACAAATGCTAACAAGACATATACCATGGAGCTACATCCCAAACCCACCCTCTTCTTTAGTTATTTTGTGCTGGGCGGGTGTGTATGCCTATAATCCCAACATTCTGGGAGGCTGGGGCAGGAAGATTACAAATTGAAGCCTAGCCTTGGGAACTTAATCAGACTCTATCTCAAAATTACAAATTAAAAAAGGGAAGGCTAGGGAGGTAATTTAGAGCAAGGGCCCTGCCCCCCCCCCAACTAATTTGAGATAATTTCTCATTAAGTTTCCCAGGCAGATCTTGAACTTTTGATCCTACGTCAGTCTCCCAAGAAGCTATTATGAAATGGAATGTTTTTCCAATCAAGAAACAAGACACTTCACAGAAGAAATACAAATGGTCAGCTGGGCATGGTGGTACACACCAGTAATCCCAGCACTCGGGAGGTTGAGGCAGAAAGATCATTGCAAGTTTGAGACCAGCCTGGGCTACAAAGCTTAAGGCCAGCCTGAACTGCATAGTGAGACCCTTCTCAAAAAAAAAAAAAAAAAAAAAAAAAAGAAAAGAAAGAAGGAAAGACAGACAGACAAATGGTTAACAAATATATGAAAAACTGTTCATTATCTCCGGATATTAGGGAACTACAAACTAAAACAATCCCACCATCTTACTCCAGAAAGAATGACAATCATTAGGAAATTAAACAGGAACCTTTCCTTCATTGTTGGTGGGAATATAAACTAGTACATCCATTATGGAAAACAGTATGGAGATTTTCTCAAAGAACTGAAATTAGAAACTCCACATGACCCATACCTATCCTCCTGCTAGGTATCTTAAAGACAGACATCATAGAGTTTAAGACATCACACTACAGCAATCCATGCATACTAATGTTTACTACAGTATAAAATTCATAATCTTGGAAGCAGCCTGTATTCCTACCTGTTGATGACAACTGGATAAAGAAAATGCACTATCTATAAAATAGATATACTACACTATAAAAAATGACATATTTGTGACATCTGCAGGATATGGATGCACCTGGGAAATATACTGTTTAGTAAAATAAACCCGACAAAAAATTTTAAATACTAAATAGTACCTTTCATTTAAGTGAGGCAAAGTACAAAGAAAATGATAAAGGATGGATAGAAAGGGATGATCTCTTGCAATAGGGAAGTGGTCCAAGGGAACAAGGGTGAGGGGTGATGAGGGGAAGAGGAAATAAGAATAAAGATATGCTATGTACAGGAGCCTAATAACCTCAGTTAATGTAAACATTATATGCCATAATATGAACTAGGAAAAAGACTATCAGCAAGCGTGAAAAAAGGGATAAGGGAATGACAGAGAGGGAAAGGGAGTTACAAAAAAAAAAAAAAAAGCTGTAATATGTGACATAAATGACATGTCAGTTCCTAAAATTCCCTGGACCTTGTCCTCCTTATGAAAAGCCATTACAGATATCTTCTACTATAGACCAGATCCCAAGACAAAAGGCAAAACTTGGCCCTCAAACCCCAGAGGGAGACCTCCTTAATATGGCTTTTCGTGTTTTCAACAGCAGAGCTAACAGTAACACTTGTGACACTTGGAAGTTCTGAGACAGGTAAACCAACACAAGGTGGAGCTGTCTAAGCCCCCTCATGGACCATGCCTCAAATGCAGCAGAATGACATTGGGCAAGAGAGTGCCCCATCCTGGCATTCCTTTGGGATCTTACCCCAGGGCTACTGGACTGTTCTAGCCACCAGAGAGTGGGTAAGCCATCCTAACTTCTAGCCCTCACAGGAAATGCCAACACTGCCAGATTCATTGCTGACAGATCTGCTTAAACTTGCTGCTGAAGACTGACGGGACTGCGGGCCAACAACAGCCTACTTTAAGGTGTCTGTCTCAGGGTCCCAAGTCCCATTAAAAGTCTCAGGTAAGATAATCTCTATACTTGTGGACATAGAGGCCATATATATAGAGTTCTTCCTGAACTTTCAGGCCACTATAGTAAGTCTTCAGTCTCTATAGTGGGTATTGATGGTCAACCTATGCCATTTATAAACGGGGCCTATTTCATGCAGGTTCCAGACTGCTTCTTTCCAATCCACCCAGTGGTGCCAGATCTTCCCGCCACCACTCACTCTACAGTCCTAAACCTTAAAAATGCTATTTATTCCCTTGTGTTTATAAAGGCTGACTTAGACACTCTGAGGTCTCAACAGCTTACACCTGTTATTGCTAGTAAACCTCTCCTCAGAGATATATAGCACCCCCTTCCTTTCTAATTCACCAATTTCTCAAACACAACTCTGGTCAAGACTGACAGATAAATTTTGTCTTTTCATCTTTGTTTATACTTTTTCAGGATATATAAAAGCCTTTCCCACAACCAGGAATGCTGATATACTTTCTAAAGTCCTGTTACAGCAAATCATCCCAAGGACTATAACCAAGTTAGAGCAGTCCATACCTGGTCTTCTTGACAACCTCAGCAGTGGTCAAAGTTGCTAGACTGCTATCCTGGCTTCACATCACTCAGGCTAAGTGGTGCCCTTCCAGCCCTAGATCTAACCATCCTTTTGCCCACTCATCTGCACCTCACCAAGGCCCCACAGCCACAATTCTCAGGCTAAGTCATGTTTTGTTATCCAATTTGGTTCCTAATTTCTTATCCTTTTTACAGCAGGACTCTCAACAGTATTTCCTAAAGACTCCCACATCGTGCATACCAGAGACAAGCCTTACCTACCTACCCACTTAACTTTTACCCTTTCAGATGGGGGAATAATCACCTCTCATAATTTCACTCCTCCTAACCCCACACTTATTTTTCAGAATTGTACCTCACTGTGACAATGATTCTACCTCAACGTGGTCCTGATAATATGACATATCTAAATCAAGGGCACCTTTCCTTCTACCTTGCCTGGGTCCTTAAATATGATAGTGGCCTGCCTCCTCATAACACCGTCTTTTTGTTTTTCCAGTCTAACATACGGGCACTCACCAGTGATAAGGTTGTTCTGGCTAAAACACCTGGCACCAGCTTCTACATGGGCATCAACCTTCATCCCATCAACACTCCTAAACCTTAGTACAGCGCCCCCTTTCAGCAGGAAGCAGTAAATGAAAGAAAAACTTCACCCTTTTTCCTAATAATCAAAAGATGGGACTGAAAGGATTTTGGCCCAGATGGGACACTGTAGCCGGTAAAGACTTGGAGGCGGAACCAAGGGGCTCCATCTTTCCCACCCCTAGAAATTTACCTATGGCATGAAATGAGTACCAATTGCATCACTAATGCCCCTTAGGCTCCACCCCAAACCTAAGCTACATGTATGCCCCCACTCCACGTGTCCAACGGAGAGAAGGCCAGCCCCCAGAGACCCCGGAGGGTCAGGGGGGTCTCTCCCCGCAGTCTTAAAATAAAGGTCATTTATATTTCATACTTCTTATCTTTTCAGCTGTGCCAGAATTCTATCATATGGTTCCCTGACCGGGAATCCATTTTTTTTTTTTTTTTTTTTTTTTGGTCTTTTTCATTTTTATCAGTACTGGGGATCGAACTCACGACTGCCTGCTTGCAAGGCAGGCACTTAGGCCGCTGAGCTAAATCCCCAGCCCCCCAATTCTATCAATATGTACATGTGACTACTCCCCAAGATGACTGTAAACTGCATGAACTGCAAATATATACAAATAAAAAAGGATATGATTTTATTTATACAACTTGAGAGCAACTTGTGTAAGAAACATCTTCAAATCACTTATAATCTTACCTCTCTGAAGCAACCACTATTAACACTTCACACCTTCCCATGTGATATGTGTACATTTTCACATACTGCACACACGAATTTGCATTTTCACAGTGCACAATTTTATATTCTTTTTACTAAAAATAGTGTGAGTAGGTCACCTGTGAAAAAGGTCATTACATGCAATAAAACAGCCTTCTTCATTTCCTCTTTTGCAAGTTATCAACTCACACTATTTGCCAACTTCCCTCCTGGGTAAGCTAAACGTTCTCTTTGGGCCAGCTATGATGAGCTTACTTCACTTGTGCCTACCATTTGTTATCAGGGAATGAGAACAATTCCATTACAAAGCAATTAAGATCTTGCACAAGCTCTTTTCATTAAAATACAACAGGACAGTCTTTCTACTCAGTACTACCACTCTGACCTTTCCAATGTAAAGGACAGGCTGGGTGTGGCCGAGGACCGTGATGAGTGTGAGGCCAGCCTGGACTACAGAGTAAGCTGGAGGCTAGCCTGAACTATATATATATAGTTCAGAGTCTCACTATATATATATATATAGTGAGACTCTGACTCAAACAAACAAAAAACATGCACCAGACAGAGAAAAGGGCTACACCAACTGGCCCACTCGGATCTGCAGAACAAACCCACCTTCATGCTTCTGACCCCAGGTAGCTCCACGAAAGCTCTCACTTGTTCCCGGCCTGCCCTTCTTTCTCCCTAACTCATTCAACACTGGAGCTGGGATCTTCATGCAAAGGCAGATATTGGGTGATATGACTTTGATATTTATCAAACTATGTTTGGAATTCAAAAAATTACATGTCATTAACTATATGCCAAACTTCTTTTTTTTTTTTTTTTTTTTTTTTTGTCTTTTTCCTTTTTATCGGTACTGGGGATCGAACTCACGACTACCTGCTTGCAAGGCAGGTACTTATGCCGCTGAGCTAAATCCCCAGCTCCTACTATATGCCAAACTTCTGTGCCATACAAACTTGCTACTTTTGTCCATGGTTCCCTAATTATGCAGCAATTTGAACATTTCTTGGAAAGAGGTTGATCTTGACACACCCAGCAGAACAGGGTGAGTCCTGTTCTGTTTTTAGTCTGATCTGACAAAGAGGCAGGAAATTAAAATAGCACTACAAAGTGAAGTTTTGCTTCAAAACCAAAACCAAACCAAAACAAAATAAGAAGTATTCCCATAAACATTCTCGGAGATTAAAGGCAATGATTCAACAGATAAGAAAGCACTCTCCTAAACAAATCAGCACACAGTAGCACGATGAAATGTAAAAAGGAGGCAGGAAATTAAAATAGCAAATGTTGCTCATGTGGGTCAGGGTCATCCTTAAAGGATCTGCAAATATGTTTCCTACAGAGGAGTTAACACCCATAAAGACCCATCCTAAAAACAAAGGTAATCTGTATACAAGAAGAGTGCCAACATTTGGCTTACTAGACATTAAAGGGCCAAGGATTTCTTTCCTTTTTTGATTTTTTTTTGGTGGTGGTGGGGTTTCCAGAAATTAAACTCAGGACCTTGCACTTGCCAGGCAGGTGCTTTGCCACTAAGCTATATTGGCTCTTCCTTTCCTTTTTTACTCAAATACTTCCACTCATATTCCCTCCCCTTTTCCTTTGCTAACGTCCCACTCCTGCTTGCTGGGTGCTGCTGGCAAAGTTGCTGTAATGACTGACCTTGCAGTAACATTTAGGCCAAGGTGACAAGGCCATGGCGACATTCACAGTGATCTGCACACATGCAGCAAAAGGTCAGGAAGGATGGTGCAAGTATAAGGAAGCATGGGGGCGCCACAGGGCTAAATGACAAATGATGCATGTGGAAATCTTGGGAAAAGCAGAGCTCGCAAACTGTCTATTGCCTTAACCCATACCTACTTGGGAATCTTCCTGCCAATCTTGGCATGCTCTATGTCCATGTAGGCCATGAAAAGAAACAGATTCTGATGGCCACATTCATCCTCCTCTAAAAAACAGACTAACGAAAGACCAAATTTGTTCAAAGAAAACCATCATACATGACAGAGATAGTAAAGCATAACTACCTATGTCTCTAATGGCACATTCTTTCAACAGTTTAGTTATAACAAATGATTTACTTCTTAAACTCCTTTTATCTTCAGACATGAGAATACCATCCTCCCAATATAAAAACATTTCACCCTTACCTGTTGCAGGGAAAAAACAAGATGGTAGGAAGCCGGTCAACCATAAATTCCCAAGGAAGATCATTCTGAGATACATCGATCCTGGCAGAGGCAAAGGAAAAGTATAGTAAGAGACTGGCCTACAAAACACACCTTAAAGGAACTTTCTAATGACTGAAGAACTTAGCGCATTCCTACCTCCCTTGCAGTGAGGACACCACCAAGTGATGCCAAGCACCGAGAGCTTAAGGACATGTAACTCCACTCTTGGGAAATCTTTGTCCAAGTGGTAACATTATGTCCTGAAAATAAACCTGAACCCCCTTTCCAAATGCCTCACTCACACCTCAAGAGTAATTAACTCACTTAGAAGTATCTCAATCCCTAAATAAATTCTAGAAAATGAATGGAAGTTGGGTGTGGGTACACGCCTATAATCCCAGTACTCAGGAGGCTGAGGCAGGAGGACCACAGCTGAGTTTGAGGCTAGCCTGCACTGCAAAGTGAGGCTTTGTTTTAAAACCAAAACCAAAACCAAACCAAACAAAAAACCCAAAATAAAACAACAAAAAAAGAGATCAGGAAAAAAAAAAAAGGAAATGAATAGAAATCATTAAACAGAACATTATCATGCCTCTATGAAAACAAATTATCCTACTCTACATATTATAGATCTGGACAGAGGCCATAAAAAGTGTATCTGTGTTTTCTTAGCAGACTGTAGATCACTACAACTGCTTGGGTGGTCAGTCCTTCAGCAGCAGCACTGAGCGAGACTTCCACATGTGCAGTGAGGCTCCCACGTGTGCAGATGGGACAATGAGTGTGCACAGCATTCTCCAGGAAAGGGGCCATTCTGTCATAGTGGGAAAGCTGCTTGGCCAATATTCGTTGAAGCTGCACCCGAAAGATGGAAATGTTTGGGACCATTACCTTGATGGGAGTTTTCAGAAAGTGTAAGGACAAAATTCATTAAAAAACCAAAACAAAACAAAAAACTGGCACAAATGAAAACAATTTCATCACAACAAACAGAAAAACATGCCTACCCCTGTTTGCACGAGCCTTTTTAAAACAGCAATAACACTTTTCAAGCATTTGTTGCTAAACGTTATATTCTATAATCAAATGGTTTCTTTATTCCTAATTTTTACCTCAATGAAAGAGCAAACTGGATTAAAAGAAAAGCATTATAAAACCCACTTCAAATTCCATCAGGCCACTGGTACCTTCTTTCTGGGATTCTCATTCAGGTTGTGTCTGTATGCTCATAGCTTTAGGACAGTTATCTTACCAGTGTACTTCTCAATTAATGGTGTAGAAAACAGTGCTTTGAATAAAAATTATCAAAGCCAGTGTGGTGGTACACTTCTGTAAGCCCAGCACTCGGGACATTGAGACAGGAGGACTGCTGCAAATCTGAGGGCAGCCTGGGCTACACAGGGAGTCCAAGGTCAGCCTGAACTGTATGACAAGACCCTGTCTCAAAACAAACAAACAATGTGACTGACTTCCCATTCATCTACTGTTGGACACAAAGAATGTTAAGACTGGCTAATGCGTCTCTGGAATTTCTATTTCCCTAATTCCCCAAAGTGAAGTTAACTGGGTCAGTATTGAATAGTTGTTTTTGTTATTTCTCACAAATTTTGCCCAGATGCTTTCTAAAAGGCTTATGTCAATTTATTCATCCCATTAGCTACATTTCACTGTGCCAATTTCACTTTATCAACACAAGGTTCTGTCACTTAAAGGCATTTATAAATTTAATAAGTGTAAATCACACTTTATTGTTTTAATTTACATTTATTAGGTTTAAATTACCCTACTTATGTACTGTCCTCATACACAGAAGACCTGCTATATCTTATTCAAGTGAGTTCATCTCACCTGTCTTTCCATCACTTTAACTGTGAGAGGTCAAGAGTAAAAATCCTGATTGTGAATCCTGCCTCCCACTGATAGGTTGTGTACCTCCGTGAGATTTACCTAATCTTTCTGTGTCTATTTCCCTCTCAGTAAAAGAGTGACGACCCAACCAAACTTTTCTGAAATATTCCAGATCGTCTTAGTGACAGGACACTGACAGATACTGCTGAAAAGTCTGTACAGTATTCCTGTTTTCACTGAATATACTTCCAATGCCATCTGTTCATCTTTCTTGCATTATTTTTTCAACTGGTTCTACTTTAGAAGTTGTCTCAAGAGAACATATTCAATATTCTATCTTCTGCTGTATTCTTTTCCCTGTGATTTTCTCTTTTCTATTTAATCTATCTGGAGGGATATTTTGAGGGGTGGGAAGAAAATCTACACACACCCCACCAAAACTACTTACTACCTCAAATATAAACCCTGCATGTAGGGTTGGGGATTTAGCCCAGTGGTTCAAGCACTTGCCTTGTAAGTACAAGATTGTGAGTTCGATCTCCGGTATAAAAAAAAAAAACTGTGAGGGCTGGGGATATAGCTTAGCAGCACAGTGCCTGCCTGGCAAGTGCCAACGTCACAAGTTCAATCTGTGGTATCAAAAACACCACCACCAAAAAACAACCCTGGGCCAGGGATTTAGCTCAGCAGCCTAAGCACCTGTCTGCAAGCCCTAGATTGTGAGTTCGATCCCTGGTACCGAAAAACTAAACAAACAAAAAAACAGCCCTGCACGTGAGCTTTTCCAATAAAACAGAAAAAAACAAAAACTATTAAAATGTCTTTGTTTATACAAGAGCCCACATGGAATATTAAGATGAGAACCTGTGGCTATCAACCAATTACTCTTTCTGATTTCCCTAATGAGTAGGGAAACAAAGGCTGGTCCTCTAGAGCACAAGCCAGCAGGAACCCCCACATCACCTTTCCCATGATTCCAGGCAGACAGAATTATACTTGCCTTCCCATGAATCAGGTCAGTACTAAACATACTCACTACCACGGACACTCTGAATTCACCAGGTCAGTTTAAACAAGGCTGTATTCCCAGCATAAGGCTACCAGTGAAATCTAACTATACCTTACCTCAGGCTAGTGGGAGATCCTCCTACATCCTAGCTATGCTGCAAAAAAGTGAGGACAGCACAGCCCAAGCACTGTAGAACAGGCTTCCTTACCTGGCCACAGTGAATGTATTTGCTGGCAGGAGACGGGCGAGCTGGATGAAAATGTGATTGAGGGACGGACAGAAGCCACACCACTGTGCATAATACAGCAGCAAGACATCCTATGGGAAGGAAAATGGGCATTACTTGCACAATGGAAATGACTTCTCTTTCGTTCCCGGCTATGTTTAGAATCTAACAGGCATTCAGTTAATGTCACAGCTTTGCAGAAATCACACTGAAAATTTACATCTGTACATTTTTTCAATTATGTGTTCTCTTAAGAACATTCTATAATTAGAAAAACGTGTAATTCACTTATGTTCCACATTAGACTGTCATGTGGCTAATATGTATGTACTCAAAAAATGACCATTCACCCCAACAACTGCAGCTCTGGAAATTATTTTAATAGGGATGAATGGCTTGATTTTTGCCTCTCTGAAGACACTGTACCTGTTTCTGAAGGATGACTTCCCAGAAAGTATCAGTTGTTACTTCAGTGATTAAATGCTGAGAAAGGAACTGGGCAGAATCACTTCCAATGAGATGCCTTTTCAAGGGACTGTAGAGAATGCTAAAGTTTTGAATAAAAGATTCTAAAAATAAATAGAAAATGAGATCAGGTCTTCTCTACATACAAGGAAAATAGCTGGCCTACTTTAAACTCCACAATTTAAAAACAGCAATAACTTCTCATGCTTTCTTTTTTTTTTTTTTTTTTTTCCAACACTTCACCTCTACGCAAACCTTTGCACAAAGCTGCTGAGGGTAGTTTTGGGCTGAGCTTTGGTAGTATTCACTTGGTAGACAGTCCTTTAGGATAGCCAAAGACCATGCAATATTAGACGCTCTAATACTCAGAGTCTAGAAATTCTATCTTATTCCTTCCTAAAGGAACTGGCCCACAAATATGCACCAAGTAAGAATGCATATGCTATCACAATCTTTTCAAGAGTTGTTCATTTGTATCATTAAGGCCTTGACCAACAACTCAAAAGCAGCAATTGTGCAAGTCACAATGATGTGGAAGGTGTAAAACACTCAATTTAAGGACAAGGAACTATGTTTTTATTTTAATAAAGTTTTTAAAAAGAAAAACAACTTATAACTCATTAACATATAATGGAAAAATGTCTAAGTAAAACTCATACAAATCCTAACTTAAACCAAAAGGTTTGTTTACTCTCCCCACAGACACTTTTAGCATCCTCCGCCTTAGAGAAGCAACGAATCTGAGTTTCACTTCTTTCTCCATTCTGAGGTCCTAAAGAACAATGACAAATTCTGTCAACTGAGAAGGAAGTGAAGAATGTCCTTCGAATACTAAAGAGACTTAATTATCATATCTAGGTAAGACTGAGTTCTTGAGTGTTTGAAATCTAAACTCTGAAACTGCCCCAGAGACAGTTGACTTATGAGTTTAGTCCTCCCAGCCAACAATGACACAAGTACATAGTTTGTATTACGAGGATCCCTAAGAACCACCAATTACAGAACAAAGAACAGCTGAGTTATATACATTTCAGAGTAGGCAGAGAAGATGGAATGAAATTCAAAGGCTTCTTTCTAAAAGCCCTTAAATTCAAGGTGAACGCACTGAGTTCATCAACTGATCAAATGTTACTGAACAAAATTCAGGAAAATCCAATAAACTTGTTCTTTAAAAAAAAAAAAAAAACGCTGGTCAGGCATGGTGGTGCAGACCTGTAATCACAGTGCTAGGGAGGTTGAGGCAGGAAGATCACTGTGAGTTTGAGGCCAGCAGGAACTGCATAGTAAAACCCTGTCTCAAAAACAAAAAAGGCTTTTTTTTTTTTTTTTTGGTACCAAGGATCAAACTCATGACCTTGCACTTGCCAGGCAGGTGCTTATGCCGCTGAGCTAAATCCCCAGCCCTAAGGCTTGTTTCTTTAATCATGTTTGTTGTATGTATAGGTTTTTTAAAAAGTGGTAACTGTTAAGATGAAGGAATTTGGCAATCTACTATTGAGAAATTTTTTCTTTCATTTATTGTTGCTAAAGGATTCATTATATGTACGTTCCCTGTTGAGTCATATTGTTCAAAGTTAGTAATTTTATTTCTAAAAAGACAAGACACCAAGATGCTCTTAGAAAATATGCACCCAAGAGCCTTCATGGTTGTAATACATTATATGATACAGAACTCAGGTTTATATAAATGCATGGAACAAACATGGAAAAAAAGTGAATCAACTAGAATGAAGAGGGGCAGCTAAATGGACTAAGATGGATGCATTTATTTTTTGGTGCTAGAAGTCAAACTCAGGGCCTCACACTTACTGGGGAGGTGCTGTGCCACTGAGCTAAATCCCCAGCCTAGATTAGGGTGTACAGGCTTTGAATTCACTCTTGCTTCCCCAAGTTGAAAATAAAGTTTCCTTCCCTACCAAATTCTTCCTTTTTCCATCTGGCAAACTCAGTCTCCCCTGAGTTTCCAGTGAAGCTGAACTAACAGGACTTTAGAATTTTGCTTCTTTGTGTACATATCAGGGACTGTGGCAAAATCCTGGGAACAGTACAGTGGTCAGTTCCTTGTTGCCAACTCCTGGGAACAAAGCTATGGGGTACTTTCCCATAACAGAGCCTTAACTTCCCAAAAAGTGATTTCTGCTGATTTGCAACTCGACATTTACTGCACTAGACACTTGTCTGTTACAATGTAGGCACTTGAGATCAGAATAGCATTCTTCAATGCTGCTACATAACCTCAGTTGAACCCATCAAGCCAGGATGTCTTGATACTTACACTCAAAGCTGTAAGACAAAAAGGAGACAAGGTACTATTTTCCCACTGGTTTCAGCTTAAGCTCCTTTAGGATGATGCTGTGTTAATGGCTTGTACTCATCAGCCCCTGAATATCCTGCCAAATAGCTCTCACTTTCCTGACTGGTATACCTGCCAGGTCACCAGAGCTACAACTGACTCTAGACAGGTGACAGAAATTACCAATCTATAAAGTTAGATCTTCTCACCATGTGCTGATAAACTTCCAAAATTTAGAAATAGGAAGTTTTTGTTCCATTTAACAGACAAACTTAGATTCTCTTAAAACTATGACCAACTGTCTAAAAACTTAAAATGAAGTCAGGCATGATGGTATAATCCCAGCACTTGGGAAGCTGAGACAGCAGGACTGCCATGAATTCAAGGCCAGCTTGGGCCACATAGTGAATTCAAGGCAACACTAAACTACTAGTGAGACCTTGTCTCAAAAAACAAAATGCAAAGCAATAAATAAATAAAGGCTGGAGATGTAGCTCAGTTAAAAGCCCTGGCTTTGATGCAGAGTACCAAAATAAATACTTGAAATTAGCTACAGGGTTTATGTCACCCCCAGAGTTAGGAGTAATGACACCATAATCCAAGTTACCCAATGCTACGCAAAACTTATTACGCTCAGGAAATTGTCTAGTACCTAAGGTGAATTTCATGAGTGCTTGTTTTGGATCCAAGATATAGTGAGACTCTTCTTTCACATCAACGATTGTGGCAAATTCTTTCACGTGGGTGGAGCTTGGAGCACCCAGTCTCTCTGCATATAACCAAAATAAATTGGAATCCAAAAGGTAGATATTCAGGGTCTTGTTGGTTCTGCAGCTCAGGCCTGTGAAGGTGGTGCTGGTCATGCCCACTTCTGGGAAGAGATACCTGTTCTCCTCAATGTGAGGAACATGGCTGGGGGTGGTGGCCTTACACTTCTCCAGGGAAGAAAATGCAGTGCCTGGGGTTTCAAAGATACCTTGTTCAGAATCAATGAAGCTTACCCCGCCCCTGTTTATGGTCCTGCAACATGCAGTGTAATAGCTAAAAGGGCTATAGGAAGTTAAAAAATTGCTGCATTCCATGCTGTCCGAAGCCATATGATAAAAGGTCTGCTTCTTGAGGTAGAAGGAATCCAGAACCGCTGCCATCTGGAAGAAGCTGCACTGTGGCACACTGACTGAGCCCGGCTGGATGCCCCCAGCGGTCTGGTTGACACACAGCTCGCAGATGTTATGGGTCCTGGAAAAGGAGTGCCCTTGGGGCAGCACCACAGTGTTGCAGCAGGGCAATGCTGCCATCAGTGATGTGTCTGGCAGCAGGGACGGTGGCTCTGGCACCAGGGACTGTGACACTGGCACATCCACCTGCCGCAGATGCTGAAGGAGGCGCTCCACCACCTGATCCCTGTGACAGTTGTTATATTCCAAGGCCACTTCGGTGATCTGAAAAGCAGAGCAGAGGTGATGAGTGTTGGAAGACGACCCAAGGGAGAGAGCGCACAGTTGCTGTGCTTGGAAAGTACCTTGTCAAGTCACAAGATAGAGGAATAGAATAGAAGAAAGCCTTGAAGTCCAAGCAGTCACACCATACTGATCAGCACAGAGACCTAGGTTCGTTTTCACATGTCACTCTGTTAACAAGCAATTTTTTGCAGTACTGGCGACTCAACCCAGGGTCTCTACATTGAGCTACATTCCCATTCCTTTTTATTTTGAGACAGTGTCTTGCTAAGTCACTAAGTTGCCAAGAATATGTTCAAATCTGTGATTGCAAACCATCATGCCTGGCTCTAACGACTTCTGAGACAGAAGGGAAAGGTATCTCAGGCAATCACATGAGAAGCAGCTCAGGTGAGGTGGCTCAGCTCAGGGCTTAAGTCCAGACTGTCACAGAACTGGGACAGAACTTAAATCTCCCAACTCTCAGTTAAGTACACTTTCCTTTATTCTTCACAACTCCTATTAGGCCAGTGATACAGCTCAGCTGCACAGTGCCTCCCTGGCAAGTGCAAGGTCCTGACTTTTAGTACCAAAAAAAAAAAAAAAAAAAAAAAAACCCTACTAGTGGATCAAAATGTGTCACAATATATACACTGCCAAATAAATTCATGTCTGACAGGAGGTTGGCAATTCAGTATGTTGCAAACCATATTTGTCCATCTTATCTTCCCCTACAACTTCTCTCCTATAACCCTTTCTCTGGAAAAAACAGCATCATTAAACTAGAAACTCAGGGCTGGGGATTCAGCTCAGTGGCATAAGCGTCTGCCTTGCAAGCAGGCAGTCGTGAGTTTGATCCCTGGTACAGATAAAAAGGAAAAAGACAAAAAAAACAAAAAACCTAGAAACTCAGAGGATCTTCAGTTTATCCTCTGTGTCATCACCTGCCTCAAATGTAGCCCACCTTGATTTCAGCATGGCTCGGCAGCCCTTCTTCTCCAGACTACTATCCTTCTCTCCCCCATCACAACTGGACCTCCATACTCTCTCCCTCTGACCTTTAAACACACAGCCCCAACATGACTGACATTCCTCTTTTCCATAGGCTAATGGGTCTGCATATTTATCCTGCTATCAGAGAGCCTACCACAAAGCCGGCACATAACATTTAGTGAATGCTGGAAAAAGGCACAGTCTTCCAGGATAATGCACATATTCCCTTTATTGATGAGATTAACTATGCCAACCTCAGATCAGGATTGGCAATTTAAAAATTAATTCTTCCTTCAAGATTTTTCTGTTTTCAAATGGGGTAACTTTACCTCCTACCCTCACCCTTATCCTTCATGAGAAAGTTGAGCAAGTTATAATTCAAAGGCATTTACCTCCTGAAGTAGAAAGGTATATGAATCAAATCTTACCATTTTGCTTAAAGGTGTTAGGTCACTTGGGATTTTATTTCACTAAGTGTGGGTGTGACAGAAGTATGTGAAGTGTGTGTGTACAGACAATCATTTAATCAGTGCAGTTCTAACTTTTAAAAACAAGCTTTGTAATAATATTTATAAAGCAAGTTGACTCAAAGCATGTATTTTTACAGAAAACTCAACTGAATAGTTCTTGGTATTAAAAAGTGTCACTTTAGATGATAATCCTGTCTTTTTCCACACAGAAATACCTCAAGTCTATCTAGATGAGGCTCCAGTGGCACACTGCTAACAGGCCAAATGCATTTGATCCAGCAGGCCCCACTGCCCCATGCTCATCCTGCAACTGTCTGGCATTTAGTGATGCAACAGTAGACAGCTAGTGCCATCCCCTGACTCCAAATACCCCATAAAACTTCAAGATTTACTGTAATCTTTTATGAAAAGTTCAAGTAGAATCCTCTTTCCTCACCTTTTTCAGTTTTGCTCTCTCACAAAGCAATGATTTGAAGAATGTCTTAACTGAAAACAGTATTTTCTATATAGCAATGCTCTTGAAGAATGAGCCCTCCCATTTCTCTCCAATGAAGGGAACTGTTTTGAAACAACTCGAGCTACATCCGTTACTATATCAACTATACAACTGATTTATGTGAACTACCAACAAAAACTTGACAAGGCTTCTGGTTATCAGACTGATATGAACACTACAAAGAAATGCCTAGCTTGGAAACAAGCTATACCAACTCTGCTGGCTAAACACAATGCCTTCCCTTAACCTCTCTAGAGGCCTTTCAGAACCCCTGGCTGTTTGCACGTGATGCTGGAGTCAGGGTCTGTTTCTCCATGGGGGTGCATACATTTAAGGGCACCTGCCCATTCCTGAATTTAGGAAGCCACCATCTGTCACTTCTGATACTCTAACCACTTCCATCATGACTGTCTCAAATATCCTTGCCTGGCACGTCTTTCAACCATATCACCCTCATTCTCAAATAGTCTTTTTCTTTAACAATGTAAGCTTCCTTAACTCTCTGCTCAAAGCCAGGCCCACAAAAGTACAATAAAACTGCCTTAAGCTGTAAAGCGTTTTTTTGTACAAATGTGTATCAGTGACTTTTTTAGCTATGGTCATGGCTGCTGCTGCTCTGATCACAGACCCTACCAGCTACCTCCATCTCTACTACCCAAGTTTAGGTTCTTACGAATTTTTGAACCCCACTGCTAGAGAATTCTTGACTCTTCAGATGAGCACCCAGTGCTCCCCTCTAAGGTTCTTTTGGTGTCTTCACCAGTAAGCCATGACAGCACAGCATAAAACCTGTGCTCTTTCTAATCACCTAAACCTGCAACTTTCCACGGTTGCCTCTTTCTTCCTTTAGTTTCCCTCAATCCTGCAAGATCAAGCTATACCTCCCCTACCCCTCCAAAGCCTCTTTTCCCTCTGGGTGTCCTCCTGGCCCTGAACCTGGGCCTGATCATGATTTGCTGGAGTAGCCTGAAACAGGAACCCCAGACTGCCACACACATCCTGAGAGCACGGCAAAGTGTTCAATAAATACTTACCAAACTGGCCCAAAACTAACAGGGAAATATCAAAGATGAACAGTAGCTCATTCATACAATTCACAACACTGTAAGGGCTGTCTAAACCATGAGATAAAGTTGAGGGGATCCACCTACCTCACAGGGACCCTGGGAACCCAAGGACAGGAGCCACAGGAGGAACTGTGACAAAAAGGCCTGCCAGTAGGCACTGGAGAGATGAGGTGTAGGGGAGACACTCATGGAAGAACAATGGGCTGGAAAGCAAGGTCCTCCTATCAGGAACTTAGTCCAAACAAGGCCTCCTGGAGGCAATGAGGGCTCTTGCCACAGACATCCCACCCAGGACCCTGGTAGGCCCAAACCAGATAGGAGAATATTGAAGAAGGAACTTTCAGAAATGAAAGTAAAATCCACAACTATAGTTACCATCATGGTTGAAACCTTGCCTTTTCTTCTACAAGGACCTTGAAGGTTCCTTATACCGGAAAAGGTAAAAGTCTAGTCATATGAAATAGTGGTCAGTTCATTAAGTACCTACACAGTAAAGGTTTTCTAAAAAAAAAAAAAAAAAATGTTTTATCACTTCAAGGCCTCCCTCATCAGACAGGAGGAAAAAAAAAACAATTCTACTTCTCTCTTCTCCTTCCTCTAATCCAAGATAGTGACTCTAGTTTAGAAGGTTCCTAACAGAGATAATAACCAACAAAGACCCCGGAGAAGTAAACTGGCAGAAGGCCTGCCCATCCCTCCAGGTTGGAGCCAAGGGGTGTGTGTAGAGGCAGTGTGTCTGTGTGGCCTGGTCTGTGGTACTCTGGCTGTCTGAAATTGACTGTGGTCAATTAAAGGATGCTTGAGGGAAAGAAAAAAATAAAACTCTCTAAATCCAATTTAGCAATCCTAGGCTTTCTCTGCTATTTCTTTCTTTCTCTGCTATTTCTTTCTAAGTGCCTCCAAACAATCCACATATAAAATAAACTCACACACAGAGCAAATGCCCCAGAAAGCAGGAAAAGCAGGAGGCAGGGGCAGATTCCCAGTGACAGCAGTCTCTGAAAGCCACTCTGGTTATCTGTACAACAAGAAAGGTCTGGAAAAAATAAAGTGTCCCAATACTTGCTGCTGAAGCTGGTTGCTGGGCTGCACATTTATCTGCTACCCTGATGATACCAGCCATCATCCATGATAGTGTCATCTCCTAGTCCACACCAAACCCTATCTGTAAGTTTCTGGCACTCCTCAAATTGAAAGTTCTATGTATTTGATCTTTCTCTGAAGAGGAATGGTTTGACTTCCCATCCTTCCAACTGGCCCCACAGACTCAAGCAGCTAAATATGGCCAGAGAGGCCTGGGCAGTCCCTGACTTAGGCACGGCTCTCCTGTCCACTTAGGAGGAAAGGTCAGTGCCACTGACTGCAGCTGCCATTCATGGTAACCACTTGGCTGCTAGATCAACAGCCCTGAGTGTGGACACAGAGAAATCTGAGCTACTTAGTACCATGACCACTGAGACTCTGACCTCATCTATTAGGGGATGCCTCTCAGCTAATGGATTGAATGGTATGAACAGGAAGAGGGCTGGTCCCTTCTTCAGCTCATTATTCAGCAGGAGACTCTTGCCGCCATGGGGCTGCAGCCATTGCAAAAGTGTTTCTCGGTTTTCTGAGGCCCACTTGTAGATGTTCGCAGCTGTAAAGTTCATGACCTCCTTGGGGAAGACCTGCAAAGGACCAACACAGAGATAAAGACAAGATGAGCATGTTGGGATAGGATCAAAGTACATAGCACTGTTCCCCAGGGGCATCAGCCCACACTGCAGGGAGGATCAGGAGCCCAGAAGCCACTGCAACTGCTTGTACACTAACCACTTCTCCAGACAGCCTTTCTTCACAAGTGGTCAGAAAGCAATAGTGGCTGCAGGAAGTGATTTTTCAGATCAGCTTCCTCCTTATACACGGACTCACCTAAACACAACTTTCCCTGTCTCCTGACCATAACAACCTCTATCACCCTGTTCCAGCAGAGCTATGAACCACCACTAGGTGTTTATAAAAAGACCAAGGCCTATCTGTAAGAATAGGAATTATGAAGCCAAGGATTGGCTGTGTTACGTTGGTCTCTCAAACCCTGCCCACAAATGCGGCCTCCATGAGGCAGGAGCTGCATATGCCTTGTTTACAGGCATCTTTAATGACTGGATGAAATTCTACCACAGCTTAGGAACTCAACGGATGTGTGAGTGAATCAGTGAATGACCAAAATCTGCACAAGGCCCAGAACTGCAATTTCTATGTTAGATGGAAGAAAGGGAAACTAAGTTTTTCTGTTTTAACAGTTGATGTAAGTGAACATAAAATTATTTTTCAAAGTCCAATAACTATAAATCACTTGTTTCAAACAATTTCTCTAGAGATGCTTTTGCTAGAGAGCTCAAATAATTTCATTATTTGACACCCTCCAAAATGGAGATTTAAATTATTTCATAAATAAGATACCCACCAGCTTTAAAAAAAAAAAAAAAACAACTCTGACACAGTCTCATTAGCTCTGGCTGGCCTTGAGCTCATGATGTAGCCTAGGGTACCCTTGAACTTGCAGCAATCCTCTTGTCTCAGCCTCCCAACTGTTGGGATTATAGGTGTGTGCTGCCATATCCAGCTACTGCTTTTGTTTCCATAAATACAGTTATCCCAATACTTTCTCTGGTAAAAAGAATTCTACTGCTAAGCCAACCACCTTTAAATATTAACCAAATGAAACAATAAACTCAATGTATTTTTCCCTGTCTCCTATAGGTCTACCATTTTTTCTCCATTTAAAATTTCTTCCTTTACTACAAATATGTATAATACATAGGCTATAAGTGAAGAATGTTTGAAAATGATAGCTAGCAAAAGCAGATGAAGCCAAAAGAAGCTTAGACAAGCATGAGGAGAGTGAGTGGGTGGCAAGGAGACAATCACAGCAGTGATGCTCAAAGTGGGATGAAAGGCATTTGAAAACAGATACTCAAACACCATCACAAACATTTCTATTTGGAAAACATAAAAAAATACATTTGACTTTGGAATATAAACTGCAAGAAGTAAAGCACAACATTTGGACTCCTAAAGAAACATAGAAGTTAGGGTCATGGCAAGCAAGCAGCACCCCCAGAGATGGACCAACAGCACGGCTGATCCAGGGGAGCCCAGATTTAAAGAGACCAGTGCACTGATCTTCATATAACCTATAAGCCACCGACACTGATGACGGTTAAAGTGACAGAAAATACATTAGAAAAATAAACTCTCAGTGATGTGACTGAGTAAGTAGCATCAACAGAGGAAAAGCACAAGATTATGCAAGATACAGGTCAAAGCTCAGAAATAGCCAAGTGGGGTTGTCCCACCAAAAAGCAAATGAAGTCAGGGAACAAAGGAGGCAATGTTTGCATCAAGGATCTCTGGAATAAGAAGCCATCAACTTCTCATTGTGACTTGGTAAGAACTTCAAAACTTCCTTACATGAGCTAAGGAGAAAAGCAAGTCATATTACTATGCTTCATGAAAGGAACAAGTGAACAAAAGACATTGCAGGGAAGTTTAGTCTCTGAGAATAAGGGCCCAGAGTAATAATTCTCCATCAAGGTAACTGCAATTTTATCCAAGAAGGCAAATTAACAAGGATGTTCCAAAACCTAAGAATATAAACAAAGAATGTCTAGATGTTACAGTCAAGAGCCCTCTAGTGCACAGACTCTTAACCAGGGGCACCAGATCTAGAATGGGCTTATAGGAATTCTCAACGTATAGACAAAATCATGTGCATTTCCTAGACAGTGTCCATAGATTTTATCCAATTCTCAAAGAAGTCTGTGACCTACGCAAGGTTAAGAACCACTGCACTATTACAAACACGATTTCAAAATACTTACAAGTGATGTGTTGAAATGTCTATGTAAATACACACTTCCAGAGTGTACTAAGGAAAGCAGTTTCGCAAGATGTTTATTTGTGATAACCCCAAATCGTACTGTTCCTAGGTAATCTGAAACAGAAAATTTTTCCTTTATTAAAGAAAAGGCCTATGCCTTGAAATATCCACAAACAAAATGATCCAGTCCTGATGCATAAATCCCCTAGTTCAAGGCGCTACTTGATAACAGGGAAGGAAGAGTTGCAGAAACTCTCCTCCTGAGCAGACCGCAGTCCTTAAGCACTCCTGAGAGTAACACATCTCTCACAGTCCCTCACACTAAAGAGTCCACCATCTCCATCTATGACAATCTGACCTGTCTGCCCGCTTGCTCATTAGGACCACCGCTGGCCCAAGGCACATACTGCTCTCTCTGGACACTTCTGGTGGTTAGCTCCTTTTCATCATCTCACCCCTGTCTTCTCCAAGAAGGCTTCTTTGTTCACCTGCCTGACAGTGAAAGTCCAGGGGTTGGAGTCTGAGCATTGGGGCCACAGGGAAATATGTTCTTAACCACTGTCCTACTCTTTATAGCATTTATGCATATACACATAATCTTATTCATTTATTTAGATTTTCCTTGGTGCAACTTCCTCTTCAGAATGTTGGATTAGAGGCTATTTTTATTGCAGGTACCCTAGTACCTACGCCAAGGCCGGGAAAGTATAGTAAGAGATCAATAAATATTTGTTAAATGAACAAATCTAACATATACAAAGAAGTCATGTGAAACACTAAGAAAAAATGGTTAAAACGGACAAACCACACAAAAGGAAATTATGTGGCTTGTAATTACATGGAAATAAATTCAACCTCTTCTCAAAGGAAAGCAAATACAAACAAAATATTACTTTTGACTTTCAAATTCCCTGAAATTCAAGACTTAGAAAACATCAAATTATTACTGACCAAAAAACCAATGAGTACTGTGACATAGTACCAGCACAAAAGGTAAAAAGCATTAAGTATTTGGGAGAGCAGTTTGTCAGAGACATAGCCAACACTCCCACATCTGTGCATTTGGAGTCATGTACAGGGACGTTTGCCAACAGATACTCTGAAGATGTTTGCAATGATAAAACAGGGCTATGTGTACAGCATGAACAGGCCATCATGACTTATGTGAGAAAAAGCACGTAAAAAAGATAAAGCATACCTTATATTCTGAAAAAGAAAACAACGTTGGGGTTGGGGGTTTAGCTCAGCGGCATAAGCGCCTGTCTTGCAAGCAGGCAGTCGTGAGTTCGATCCCCAGTACCGATAAAAAGGAAAAAGACAAAAAAAAAAAAAAAAAAAAAAAAGAAAACAACGTCTCAGACTTATAAAACTATTTTTTCCCTATAAGCACATGTGTTTAGAAACACATAAAGAATCTTACTTTTTTTTTTTTTTTTAAATCGGTACCAGGGATCGAACTCATGACCACCTGCTTGCAAGGCAGGTGCTTATGCCGCTGAGCTAAATCCCCAGCCCCCATAAAGCATCTTAAAGGAGCACACAGTGACACAAGCCTGTGGTCCCAGACACTTGCGAGGCAGAAGCAGGAAGATTGCTTGAGCACTGGTTGAGATAGTGAGATCCTATCTCAAAAACAAAAACAAAAAGAATCTGGCTAGATGTGGGGATCCATGTCTATAAACCCAGCACTTAGGAGATGTAGGTTAAGACAACAGGGTAAGTTTGAAGTCAACTTGAGTTGTAAGACAGATCTAGTCTCAAAAACATAAAGCCAGATGTGGTAGCACACGCCTGTATTACCAGCACTCAGGAGTCTGAGGCAGGAGGACTGCCATGCGTTTGAGGCCAGCCTGTGCTACATAGTAAGATCCTAGCTTGAAAAACTGAAAATGAATGAATGAATAAATAAATAAATATTTTTAAAGCCTTAAAGGATAATAAAACTAGCTTGATGCTGGGGGACAGAGATCAAAGAAAATTTTATTCTTACATGCACTGTTCTTTTTACACAGTTCAGAAAACTGTAATATTTGTGTGATTATAACATATGCAGTATTAAAGGCTGGGTAAAATACTGTAGGGAAATGTACATTCTTTGCTATCCCTTTTTGGCTTTATTAGCAGATGGTCAATAAAATTAACTAGGACCAGGGATGTAGCTCAGTGGCACAGCACTTGCCTGGCAAGCATAAGGTCCTGAGTTCAACTCCCAGTATCAATAAATTAATAAATAAACATAATTAATTCAATTAAACTTTAAATGCTTCCAAGTAGCTAAAGCATAAAAATATGAAGCTGTTAAACACGTATGACTTCTAGTTCCATCCTGAGTCCCACTTGCAGCACTGCTGCCCTCCTTGTCCCAGGTAAGAGGCAGTCAATGAGGACAAGGCCAAGTAAATATGCTCCTTCTCCCAAGGTGGACAATCTTTAATGTAAACCTGATGAGTTTAAAATAGTACAAACTAAAAGATACAAGAATAAAACAAAAATTAAAGAGACACTGCTTACAAGGAGGGTAAGCCAGGGCTGAGGGGCTGCTGCATCCCCAGTAGAACTTTCGGTATTTGACTCTTACAGCCACAGTGGTGCCCACATACTCTTTACATATTCCACAACCAAAAAAATGTACAGGGCCCAATGTGTAATATACTTACTAACAAGCGAACTCAACTGTCCTGTAAATGATGCACACAACAACCACAGTGAAGGGGTAGAGAGAGAAGCAGCCTAACAAACTGGAAAGCATCATCTTGAGTGGGTACTATCAAATGGAGGGCAGAGAACTGTACACCAATGCCACAAGCCTTGTTAGTAAATGGTTTCTCACAAAAATAAACAATTCTAGAACTATGATCTTACTCATTTCTTTGTAAGTAAATGTAAACAATGAGAACTGGGATTGTCATTGTTGGAACAAAAGTTGTAAAAAAAGGCTGGGTTGCCTGCCAGGCAAGCACGAGATCATGAGTTTGATCCCTGATACTAAAAAAACAAAAAGGGCTAAAATGACCCCTGCAGCATTAGTCTGGAAACAGAGAACTTAGGGCTTTTAATATACACATGTGCATGTGATAGAGAAATACAGACGTATACATCCGCACGGTTATAAATACATGTATTTCCTAGTTCTATCTTCTAAGGAGACTTTCAAATAATGACATTTGATACCCAGCACTTCAGAAGCTGAGGCAGGAGGATCACTGCAAGTGTGAAGCCAGCCTAGGCTACAGAGTTCAAGGGCAGCCGTAACTGCATACTTAAGTGCGTAGTGAGATTGTCTCTCAAAGACCAAAAAAAAAAAAAAAAAAGAGGAAAAGGAGAAACGTTTATAAAAAGGGCCTGTCCAAAGGACAAAGGAGAAAACTAAGGGCCAAAGCTGGACCCACTAAAGCAAAAGAAAAACTAACAGTGGCAGGGTAAAATAAATATACTACTCTACAATATTAATGAGAACAGTCAGTTGTTCTTTATAGAAAAATTCCATTAACAATGAACAAAGAACAAGGGAAGCAGAAAATTATCACTTAAATAGCATAATAATTACTGCAGGCAAGATCCACCAATGGAAGTGAAAATCAGCAGGCAGCCATATGAGGAAGTATGCATGCAGTCCCAGACTGTCTCCTCCCATGCTACTTCTTCACACATTCATGTGGTGTTGGGGACTGAACCCAGGTCTCTACATGCCAGACAAAGGCTCTGCCAATGCAGCAACACTGTCAGTCCCCTTAAAAATCTTTTAAAACAGCACAGTGTATACATTTAGATCTCAAAGCTTCAAAAGAAAAAGCAGGAGCTAAGAGAGGATATGAACTGGTAGAACCAAAACAGTGACCTGAGGTAAAAACAATTGCATTGTAGTGCACTATCATAGTTAAGAAAAAGCAGCCAGTTGGGCATTTATTTGATAGTCTGCCAAAGTTACCAACATGATTTACTAGAGCAGAGGAATAAGATGTGACAGTCTGACCCCAAAATTGAAAGAGGCCATCAAAAAACCAGTTTAATTGAATTAATGAGAAAGGACAGTATACCTGCACAAAACAGATTCTAACACAGTCAAATATACTGCCCTTTTAAAACTTTATCTTTCACACATAAAAAAAATTTTATTAAGAAAAAAAAAATCACAATTCTATTGAATTTTCTGCATATGGTGAAAATCTTACTGGAACACAGTTTAAATCTGCAACCTCATGTGAACAAACAATACTCAGATTAGCAGATGAAATTTTTAGTACAAAACTGTGCAAGAAAAGAGCACTTTTCATCATATCCAGAGTACTCTCTGTTAAAGCAGGGCTCCAGCATATTCAATAACAGGTCTTTGTCATTTATAAAATGAACTCTTTTTATACTAAAAGCATGGAGATATTACTATTTTAACTTAAAGTTTTCTAACAGGGGTCTGGGGATTTAGCTCAGCGGTATAAAGCGCCTGCCTTGCAAGCAGGCAGTTGTGAGTTCGATCCCCAGTACCGATAAAAAAAGGAAAAAGACAAAAAAAAAAAAAAAAAAAAAGTTGCTAACATAAATTGCAAATGTTTTCCATCCCCTGCCACAAAAAAAGGGGACCAACAATATGATCCAACTCAATTCTTAAAAAAAATTCTCGATATAGTCTATTTCCACGGCAATTAGCCAGTTTTCATATTCTATTAATCATATCTTGACAACTGGTATCACAAATCACTGTGAGATGCAATGAGATCTTGAAAGAATATCTAGGAAACAGAATTAATAACCAAGCAGTATCTAGAGCTGCTCATATAGGCAACTAAGCAGGCCAAGATGACCTGAGGGAGAGAGACTGGCTTCTCTGCTGCTTGCCTTTGGCCCTGGGCCTTTCAGCTCTAAGGCAGTGCACAGTGCACTGATCTACTACCCAGGCCCATTACGGCCTATCCCTCATGGACATGAGGCTAGGACCACGGTGGTGAACCCACAGCATGTGCCCTGCAGCCAGCTGTAACTACTGAAAGCTCTAAAAGGTTCACTATCACTGGGGGGAAATAGCACCAACATGTTTATGCTCGGGCTGTTTGCCACACTCTGAGTTATTTACCTTTGATCCTTTCAACCTTGTCAACTTGCAACACTTCGGCAGATTT